ATGCTCAGTGCACCTCAGTGGTAACTTGGAAGCTGGCATACTCAAACCTGAAACCCTCCATGACCCAAGCCTGCATCCTTAACCACCAAGCCACTGCTGCTCTGCACAATTCCTGTATAATACCCCATATAATAGCCTGTATATTACATAATTATAGTAATAGTAATGACAACATATTCAAACATTCATCGAGCCATCTAGACCTAAATTATGGGGCCTTAAGGCACATTCCCGACTTAAAAGCCAGTTTTACACTACAGGTTAGGTTAAGCCAGAAAGAACAGGTTTAGTGCACAGATAATTAAAGTCTGAGGGCAAACTTAGTTTTAAGTCAGATGCCAGTAGCAGATTAAAGTTGGACGTAAATCGTCTTTATTGTCTATGTCAGCCAGGTCCAATCAAGATTGGATTGTTTTACACATATGGGTGTTGACACCTGATGGCTGCCAATCTAGATATTCCACACTGGGAGAGATGAGACCCTTTCTTTCCAGAAAAGTAGTCACATATTGTGCTATAATGCATATCTTTGTGGACAAAGTTTGTATAATTTTGTATATATCTTTCTTTTTAAAATGTGTTTTTATTAATAGCTTGATTTCTAGCTAATTTTATGTAAAAAAAAGAAAATAGAAAGCCACTGCAAAGCAAGTCATTTCACCTAACCTATAGGGGGTATTGGGTTTACGATGTTATCCAACTATGGTATTTCGTAGTTACTTCACCACCCCCCATTAAGAAATGTACAACGTTAAAAACATGAAGCAGATGAATGTATGTGTATGAAGTACAACTGGCTTCACTTATATTCGTCGGTTGTACTTCATACGCTGGATTACGCAGAAACACTGTAACGACCAAACTGACCTTATGTCTGCATGACCTGGCCCCGGAGCGTCATTAAAGCTTTGATAACACCTTTCAATAAATCCTTCAAAAAAATCCTTTAAAACGAACAACGTTGATCATTTTCTGTTTCAGTTTTTATTCCAAGGTGACTGCTGATAAAATTGCGAAAACAATCCAAACTTAAAAAAGAAGAAGACAGGATGAAGAAAAACAAAAGAAAAAGAAAAGGGGAAGTAGGAAAAGAGAATAGCAGATTTCTAGCAGTAGGTCTGCTTTCATACAAGACATATTAACATTCTGACAAAACCATTGCAGAATAATGAATCTTAGTTATAAAACAAAAACACCTTATTTTAAGGATATGGTCCAGTCAACGTTTTAAATTTAAACCAATCGGTCATGTCAAAAATGTTGTAACAATCTAGAAAGAGCTGAATCACTGTTTAATTTTTACAGCATCATTGCAGATGCCTGTCTCAGGCATGTTCAGGTCAAAAAGATAAACACCTAAGGTATGACAAGCAGCTAAAAGACACGTGAACATGACATGTCTCAAGGAGATTAGAAAACGATTACAATCTCTTTCCTTTTCTGTCACATGCTTCCCTGAAGGCAATGTCTTTAGGTTACTGTCTGGGTTTCAGTAAGGTATGGTGGCATTTTCCTTATCTAAATGGAGTATAAGTCTAACTGGTTCAACAGTTCGTTTGTTTTATGCTGTAACAAAAGTTTATCTGAGTTGATGCTGTTTTTTTTTTTTTTTTGTAGGTTTTTCTACTGCAACATATCTGAGTAACATATTCGAGCATTCACACATATGAGTATGAAAGGTTATGCAAAGGTAAGGGACTAAATGTGTAAAAAAAAAAGGAAAACAGTAGGGGGAAAAGTACCACTATAAATCAGTCTTACAATTAAATTACAAGTGAGAACAAACAAATCTTAATAATTATTATTATTATTATTAATTATTGTTATTAATGCGTTAATGTTTTTTTTAAATCAAACTAAAACAACAAAAATAAATAAGGTATTTTCTGCTATTTGTTTCCAGATCCAAAATGAAACTGAGACTGCAAAGTCTAGGACCTACACTAATACACTGCAGTAAAAAAAAATTCTAAATTATGCGATTTAGACCAAAGAGAGTTGTAATAAAACTACTTTATGTACTATGCTCAGTAATACATTATTAAAAAAAACACACAAAAAGAACATTCTAAAAAATGTGGGTGTGCTTCTTTAGCCTGATATCCGAGAGGATTAACAATCTAGCTTGTGTCAAGGTTTTCTGTTATATAATCCATTGTTGGTAGGTGAGGTCTCTTGCACAGACAATGCAATTTTTTTTATCAGGGAAGAGCAATAGTTTTCCAACCAACAGATTCTGTTGTGATATATGTAATACATAGTCTTCTTCTTTTTCTTTCGGCTTTGTCCCTTTTTTCAGGGGTTGTCATAGTTAATCATTGATTTCCATATTGCCCTGTTCTCTGCATCTTCTACTCCAGGGGTCAGGAACCTATGGCTTGCGGGCCAGATGTGGCTCTTTTGATAACTGCATCTAGCTCTCGGATAAATCTTCGCTGGTACTTATTTACAAAATAAGTCATAAATAATTTCGCTGATGTTTAAGTATAACGTTACAGAAATCATAGTGTTGAAATAATCTTAAAAAATAAAACATTCACATGTTTACCGCGGCAGCGTACTCTCTTTGCGTTGTGTTAAATAATGGTGGTAAAATCATCCGCTTGGTATGCCATGTTTTATTTCTGGCATAAAAAGTGAAAACAAAGTTTACACATGTATTCTGTCTTGCTACTGACTGACCTTTATTCCTCTTCTCTCTGGTGCAAACCTCCACCTCTCTAGGTTCTCTTCTAGTTGCTGCCTACTCTCACTACAGATCACAATGTCATCTGCAAACAACATAGTCAATGGGGGACTCCTGTCTGTCATCGGGACCAACTGACTTTCCACTCTTCATCCTTCTCAGGGCTTTTCTTACGTCATCCTTTCTAATCCGATCTACCTTCTTCCTAATAGTCTCTGTTTCCTCAGCTTTATAATGTTGACAGATTTTATTGAAAGGGACCAGAGAACTAAGTCTGGTCTAAGGGTGGTGGCTGCGTTCTCCAGTGGAAAGATTAGTTGTTGGCCGATATCAACTAGCATCTTCCAATCCTACGCCATGGCAATGTGTCCAACATCTGGTATGCTATGGGGATAGTTGGCCTCTTTTTGTCCCTCTCTCACCAGATGAATGCTGGTGCTTTGAGGTTGGTTGCTCTCAGGGGCAAGGAATTGGTGGCATTCCTTTTACTCTCAAGAGCTGCTGCCAGGCTTTTGAGGACCTGGTTGACTCCAGATGTAGCAGCCTTGAGTGAGGCTGGTATTGCAACCGGTCAAGATGTGTTTGAGAGTCACTGGAATTGGGGAGAGGGCACAAGTTGGGTCCTCGCCATACCACACGTAGAGCTATTTTTGGAGACAGGAGCACATTGTAGGTTGCTCTGATGTTGTTTGCCACCATTTCCCAGAGTTGCCTCCAGCTCATGGCCTGTGTTTTTAATAATCTTCTTACAAACCATGCCTGTCCAACAGGTAGTCAGCTTTTACCTGTTAGACCAGTGGTGGGTAGTAACGAGCTACATTTACTCCGTTACATTTACAAGTTTTCTAGGAGTAGTTTCAAATCACTATACTTTTTACTTTTACTTGAGTAGATTTATGAAGAGGAAACAGTACTCCTACTCCGCTACATTGGGCTATACTGAGCTTGTTTATTTTATCAGAGATACTGGATAAAGTTTTAACTATCCAGTATCCAGTTATCTATTCATCCATGTTCCAGGATCTCTACTTTTAATTTGTCAGAAAAAGACTTCCGCTCAAGGTGCTACCGTGTGACTGTATTTAACCAATAAAACATAGCCCTTGCTGTGCAGTCTTGTCACCTGACCATACTCAATCTCAGCAGCGGGACAGGTTATCTTAGAGGCTACTGTGGTCTGCGTAATTGCCCGACTTTTTCCTGGCTTTTTTCCTGTCTTTGATAACAAAAAATGGCAGAATCAATCGTCTGCATTGCAGACGAAGACGAGGAGGCACACCACTGGACTCATATTGAAAGCAGGTTCAGTTTACAAACAGTGCGAAACAGCAGGTACATCATGCGGTGTCTTCTGTGTCTCCCAAAACAAATGGATATTTCAGCATATCTAACCTAAGTAAATATGTTGCGATAAGTTTGACCTAAAATCTTTGTCTGTTTGTTTGTTTGTTTGCTGTGATACGGCCTACAAGCCGGAAATGATAGGCTACCGCGTGTTACGCTAGTATCGTATGTCTGTCTGTGAATGGCTGCGTGTGTATATGTGCGTGGGGGCGCGCGAGAGAAAGAACAGTAGCGAAAGTTGAGAGCAGTTTAAGCCCTGTTGAAGTTGAAGCCCTGTTGAGCCCTGTTGCAGTTTCTCATGTTGAAGCGTGAGTTGGTTATACAGGAGCTGTTAAGACGCTGTTTATGTTCTGTTGTGCTCGGTTTGGCTGATAATAAAGAACCCAACATCCCTGTTTCTGATTACATCTGCTGTGGACAAGCAAAAAGAGAGTTAGCCCCAGAGCTAATGTTAACTTCGGCCCTGGAGCAGATCACTAAGTCTACCCTTTGCATTTTAACTACGGTCAACGTGTAACCAGCCGTGCTACAGGGATTGTTCGGAATTAAAAGTGAAAAAAACAAACATTTTGTGTAACATCTTTTTGTGTAAATATCCCATGTTACAACGTGGACACCTGCAGCTTATAGAGAGGAGCGCCCTACCTACATATGTCAAGTATTTTTTTTTCTTTTTAAATTTGTAGTCAGGAAATTACGTATAGACCACTAAGGCTTTCCATTTTTTTCAATTTATTAACATTTGGTTTAATTAACAAACAGTTTATTACACTGATACATTACAGCTCTAAAATATTTTTCACTTATATGTTACAGCTTTCAAAACTGCTACTTACGCAAAATGTCTTCTGGCGTAATAGTTACTTGTACTGACATACACCAAACAGGATTTTGACTCTTTTGAATCCCATCTTTAAATACGGTTATAATATATTTTAAAGATATTTGATTGAGATAAGCCTTATAACTACAAATAGTCACACAAACATCAATGTATTTTTCTGTTTATATTAAGAAAATCTAAATGATGTACAAAAAAAGATACTTATGTAATAATAATAATTCATTTTCTGTGGAAGGTCAAAATAACTTTCAAAGGTAATGATTTAATGATGCAATGTAAAGACATGGCAGCAACAGAAACAGTGTGGTGATTCCAGGGCCAGCAGCTGCTGATGCAGAGATGTAGACTTTCCTGCCATTGACAGACTGTGATGGCCGAAACACGTTTTCATAACCTGCCCTAGTTGGGAAGAGTTTCATCTGGATAAAAAAAAAGACAAATGTATAAATGCACAATAATCACCATTTCCTAGTCAATAGTAAAGAAGGAGACAATTTTTCCTTCTTTTGTTTGTTTTTAATAATTGGATTGCGTCGTATTATTCACTTTGATATATTGTTGACAAATTCTCACACCTGCCAACTGACCAAATTTGACAATGTTAGCATAATAAAACGCTTAAGGTGTGTAAAAGAAGGTACATTTAAAATGTGTAAAATAAACAAATATTTGTGTCTTTGTCCAGTTTTTATTTTATTTTATTTATTTATTTTTGAGTGGGGGGGACACAGAAATGAACCAAAGGGAGGCACTGCAGAGAAAGCTTGGGAACCACTAGTCTAATCTGACGAAAGGGGCAGTCTGAGGACCTTTTAGCCTGCCTGTCATTGCATATTATTAAAACACATCCTAAACAAAATGTAGTACTTGTATTTCATATTGGTGTGTACACTCGTCAAAATAGTCATACTCAGATATTTACAAGAGGGTAAAGGATGTTACTAGTACTAGTATTCTGTACACACATTAATCACTAAACTTTGACGGTATATATACTGTATTCCCATTATGATGCAACAATGCTGTTGTTGTTATTATTATGTTGTAAATCCATTGCTCACTATCTCTGAATACACGTACTGACAATGCCGGTTCCATTTTTGAATTCAACTAAATTGGGTCTCATAGTCTTGAATTACCTGGAACCTTGCTGCAGCTGCTAAGTCCAAAAGGCAAGTTAAGTAATTGCTCACTATCTCTGAATACACGTACAGACAATGCCAGTTCCATTTCTGAATTCAACTAAGTCCAAAAGGCAAGTTAGGTTAGAAAGAACAATGACGGACTTAGTTGTATTAATTTTATGAATTTTATGAAAGAATGTATGAATTGTCTTTTAAAAAAATGAGTATTTCTAAATAATCCGATATAGATGATCAATTTCCAGTGACAACTACTGTACTTAAAATGAAGTAACTTTATCACCACTAATACGATTGAGGCCATTGTACAGCAAAAAAGTGAACCTGGAGGACACCGTTTTCACCCCCTCACTTTTAGTACGGTATGAACCACATAGCATTCAAAAAATAAACTATTCAAAATGCCAAAGAAAATTGGACATATATGCAGCACGGTTTCAAAAGTTGCATTTTTTGAGTATTGAAGATGGGGAAAAAAGCATTTTGTCTTTTATACATTATACACCTTTTTACATTTTATACTGATATAAAGTTATTTTGCCAATGATGCATTTGATGATGCAAAAAAAAAATTAACTGTCCAAGCACAAGCAGTAGCTGTCAGATGCAAAGTGGAAAACTAAGAAACAGCAATGGCATTCTTTTAAATAAATTGAGTATCATTAGGACCATTTACTCACCAGGTTTTGGTCTATTTTGATGGACTCTTTAAAAACTGTCCAAACCACTGCTTCGTTACATACAGGCGTTGTTAAAGAACCGTTGTAACGATAGTAGATAGCTCTGTCCACAGAACCAAGCAGGTCATCAATGGAAATTTCTTCAGTCACATCAGCCTTTGATCCTGAACAATAAATAGTTCAGTTTTTGTGGTATTTAAATTGCAAACAGGGCAAAAGTTTAAAATGATTTGAAAAATTTAACAATTTAATTTTAACAATTACTTGTTAAAGTCCATGGTTTTTGCAAAAGTATGTGGATGGGGATGCATTAACATTTGACTCAAATACTAGTACTCATGAAAACAGGTGCCAATCTAGTGACCTGATGGTTAGTTTGGGGGTATTTTAACATCAGGGAGGAGGATGAGCAAGGCTTTCTGGAAGATTTTTCTGTATTTACAAAACCCTTTAAGACATACCTCACCACTGAAAACACAGCTTAACTCAACAGATACTGAATTATGTGTGTTAAATTGTTTATTTTATAAATTGTTTATTTTAATCTGGAGTGTTTAAGTGACCTTTTGATTACTGGAAGTCAGTCAAGTTTTCAATTGAAATACACTATTAGTGTAAAAGGTCTGCTCACTTTCAGCCAGTTGTGTTTCCTATGCATGAAGTGTATCTTGTCTTACAGACAAGTTTCAAATTCAATTATTTTGCATAATACAAACATATTTGTCTGTGAGCATTTTCTTGTTTGGTGTCCTCACTGGTCTGGGTTGAGCCAGCACCTTACTGAACAACATCCTATTACTCACAGAGCTGTACCACTTCTATAATACCTAGTTAATTGCATATTTATTATAACTCCATATACAAAAGTATCAGTGATGTTACTCGGTATCAGCAACTTCAGAAATGCTGGTACTACAATCTGTTTGTAAAAAAACGCTATCGCTACAAACCTTTCCTCTTCATGTCTCTCTGTGGTGTCTTTTCTCTAATTACAAACTTGTATTTATTCAATTATTTATTCTTGTTTTTTGCTGTGGTGTCTTTTCTCTAATTACAAACTATCATTAAGATTTATTCTTGTTTTTTGAAAATAAAATGGATTTGGGTGTAGCTCAGAAACTGTAGTAGTGTGGCTGGGTGCACTAAAGTACATATCATGTTGCCTCGGTCCCGAAAGAACGATTAAGTCATACCTAACTACAGGCTACCCAGCTCCTGGTACAGACCGTGGTCATCCCCTGTCTCCTCTACTACAACACCCTTCTTGTATGCCTCCCTATCTGCGCTACGAAACCACTACAGATGGTCCGGAATGTAGCGGTGCACCTGGTCTTCGAGCGTAAAAGGGCACAGGTCACCACTCTATTCGTTGAGTTACGCAGGCTCCCCGTAGCTGACTGCATCACAGTTAAATCACTCTTGCCGACTTAAGTACTCTAATACTCTAATAAAGGCTTATATTACTTCACAACAATTCCCCTCATCTGAGGAATCGCAGTATAATGGCAGTATAATCATCTCGCACAGGACAACTCAGGCTCTTCTCATGGGATGTTCCACACTGATAGAGGCTTTCTTCTAAGAGCTTCATCACTACCAACCTAACAGACAAGAGCTTAGGGATGCACTTCTGGGCCAACAAGCACTGGTGATGAGAGGAAACAGCCATGTTATATCTTTTTACCTATATTATTTATCCTGTTTTCATCTGTGCTTGTACATTGTCAATTTTTTTTTGGTTTTAGGGAACCTGTTGCTCTCATTTAGGTAATTTCCTCTTTAGGTACGTGACAGACTGATCTTGTTTTTCTCACATATTGCATGTACATGTACCCTTGTCTTCCCAGCCTCCAGTGCTAGATCTCTTGCAGTTATCTAAGGCCCTGGAGCATTCTTTGTTTCTCATTTCTTGTTTGACTCCCTGTGTGCCTACTGCTGCTTGTGTTTTCTTCTTTTTTGAGCTGTGAAATTGGGTTCTAATATTAGCCTGACCAACAGAATCAACTACCAAACACTGAGTATCATACATTAAATGTACCAAATGTAAACAAGTTTGCATTTACCAGTTGTGCTTATGGCTGCGAGATAATTGGTTAGTTTCTTCCAGCTTTCCATATCAGATGTGGGATTTGTTTCCTAAAACAAACAATTTAAAACAATTAAAGAACAATTGACATTTCAATACTAAATCGGCATTTCATTTCTCACATGCACATTGTGGGGGCCCAGCAAAGATTAGCACAGCGGAGGTAAGCACAGGTCGAGCACAAACACGTGTCGAACCGTGCCACTGCTCGCGAACCAAAATCTTATTACACCTGAAGAAACTAGTTCGGCATAAAATGGGCAGGATTTTTTGTAAGGAACTTTTTGATGTAAGTTTGACGTAACTCGTTCTTATTTATGCAAAACAACATCCGCACTTCCGCACGGAACAGCGTCAAAACAACAATACCATGACCATCCAGAACCAAAATGGTGGCACAGTCTGACTCTGGAGGGGCGAACAACAACAACAGCGCTCTTCTGTGTTCAACTGAGGTCACTACCCTTTTCCACAAATCTCTGTCCCTATTGATCTCCATGTGCGCCCATCTCACCGATATTGTCAAAACCTAAGTGAAGCAAACTAATTTGGGGCTTTCCATCATTCCGGGTGGATTAACCACAGAATTCCAAATAAATAGTGGTGTTAACAGGGCGTTCAAAGTTAAATTGCGAGCTGCGTGGGAGCATTGGATGACAGAAGGCGAACACACATTCACCAAGACAGGGAGGCAACGCCGGGCGAGTTACGCCACTATCTGCCAAAGGATCTTGGATGCCTGGGCTAAGGTATCAGTCTCAAATGTCTTCAGAGGTTTCACGAAGGCCGGAATCATCACTGAACAGCTAATTAACAGCAACGAGACTGACTCAGATATTGACAAGAAGGATCCGGACATGTTAGATTGTTCCGCTTAATTGTTTCGCTGACTGTTTTGTTTCGCTTAATGCGAAAATAGAACCGTTCATTGATATTGCGCCTTATAATGCGGTGCACCTTATAGTGCGAAAAATACTCTACGTGTCCTGCACAATCCTCACCTACGTCTCTTCCACTCATGACTATTTAGGTAAAACAGTTCCTCCCTCTCTAGTTTAAAAAAGACATGGTGTTAGGATTTTTCTGTGCACTAAAGAACTTTTTTAAATCATATATCTCCTGAGGGATTAATAGTCCATCAGGATAAGGGCTATCTATCTATATAATTTTATATATATGACAGCAGCTTAAGACCAATGCTGAAGATTGCTCCTAAACCTTTGTTTGTTTTCGTACTGCAAATCCCAACCACTGTGCTGCAATAAGTTTTTCATGAAAGATCAAAATGTGTACCCTGGGAAATTATCCAAATCCAGTTAATCGGTGTGAAAACATGTATTTATTCACTTCAAATTATCTGTGAGTGTATATGTAATAGTAAAGGATAATTATTACCATCCCCTAGTGGTAAGAGATGGCTATAAAGAATACAGTCTAGCAAAGCTATATTTCTTACCTCATGATGGCCAGAATCTGAACTACTGCTCCCACTTTTGGTTGTATCAGTTGCCTAGATGAAAAGATGCAAAAAGCTTTTTTGTAAGTTTGTCAGTCTTTTAAGTAAAGAAAATAGTGTTAATTGAGTGTTGCTGAAATGTCAGGTAAAACAAAACTGGTGGGGATAAAGTAGTACTAATACTATACTATATATATATATATATATATATATATATATACATACACATATATATTATATCTTTATTTACTTGAGTACTTACATTTTTTTAACATACCCAGAGTAAATTGAGAATGAATCTTAGGACTTTAATGCAGTACACAACTATGAGCTGCTGTTGCTTAGAAGGTGCCGGTTGTGATTGACTCACAAATCTCTGTTGGACACACCAAATTGTACGTCCAACAGAGTGATGTTTTAATCTCAAAGGGGTCAATAATGTTCTTTTTTAACTTCTGAGTACATTGACAAATCACCCATCTACTTGGCTGGTCCTCAATCAATCATCAATATATGAAGTGCAGGTGATATGCTACCTTTAAGAGAAAATGTTAGAAGGAATTGGTAATTTCATGCCTACGGCTTTGGTGTTCCAAACAATTGAGCTATTTGCGATAGCTGCTTTGTGACAAATAACAGAGCAAATGCAAAGCCTTTTCACAAACAAAGGTGTTTCTATTTAAAGGGTGTATAATGCTGCATCGTCAAACCTATTGAGGTATGATTGAGTTGTGATATTAAAATCAAATAATTCAAAATCAAGTAAATAATAAATGGTTAATAATTAGTTACAAAGACTGCATTGTTACCTCAATGAAGAATCCAAGAACTGCAATGCCATTAGAAGTCTTGAGTGCCTCATCTAAAGTTAGGTCCTTTCTCTTGCTCACTATATGCATCTAATTAAAGACAAAAATGTATCGCATAATGGTGAGATTAAAAGAAATGATGAACTTTGCTTTAGGTGATTCTGCAAAGATGTTTTCAAACCACCTCCATTGGGAACTGTTTAGAATCCACCATGTGTTCTGAGCCCATTGAATTCTCTGATGTTGAACCCCAATGAAAGTGGAATTGAAGTGTGGTGTAGACATGACCCAAACCTCCACCTGACAACTCTACTACGTTCTCCTTCAGCACACATTTAACTGTTTGTTAGGAAAGAACAAAAAAACAATTTGAAGTGATGGCAGTGACCTGAATGCACAAACATGTTCTTCTAACAGTCTTTGAATTTTCCTTTTCATGTTGGAGCTCTTAGGTCAATATGGCCACAAAGGCCCCATTTAAGTAAGGGTGCACTCACACTAGGCAGTTTGGCACGTTTGTTCCGAAAAGTCCAGATTCTATGGCTAGTGTGAATACAAGTCTACTGTGCCTGAGTATGGCACACTTCCCTGGCACGGCACGGTTGATAGATGTGCGCTGAAGCACGGTATACTTGGTCATGCATGACTACAAGCACATTTTCTGCGCCGCCAGTGAGAAGGGAGCATTCGGGCTTCAGCATGGTACAGATCAACTGCCTCTAGTGCAGTACTTCGCAAATAGTGGGGTGGGCCCCCCGTGATGAGGTGCTGGGAGAGGTGTGAGGGGCTTCCAATGGAATATGGTACGTTGTACATAAGTGTACCACTGCTGTAATGCTTGAATGATAACAAGCCTCCAGTCACTAGGTGGCAGCAACTCATACAGTGGTTTGTACAGATAAAAATATACATGTTATCAGGTTCTCAATAGTATTTCAATTCGCAGGGGTGTGGGTCGGAGGAGGAGAGGTGAGTAGCATTAAAACAATTCTGTCCCCAAGGGGGCATGTCAGAAACTATTTGAGAACCACTGCTCTAGTGTGAGTGCACCCTGGTATCTTAGGACCTCAGGACTCAGTTCTAAGCATAGAAGCAATGCAGCTTAGCAAAGTTGTTAACTACAGTGTTAATCCTGAAACTACACATAAATCAGTCTGAGCCTAATATCATGGTATTATGGTTACAAAAATAATTTTAAGGTATACTAAGATTTAAATTAATCTGAAATTAACTACTCTCAATTAATCGATCTTCAAATAAGGTAACTGCAGGTAAATTTAAATTTTAAAAAAGGAAAGATGTGGAAAACTGTCAAACCTGCATGTCCGGTGTTAGTGATGTACTCGATTGAGTGTTTGTCATCAAAATGTTTATAGATGAAGGCATCAAGGTGTTCATCCATCACAATGTTGTGTGTGTCAATGTTAATGGGTGACTGGTGGTCACCTTCACAATAGGAGGAGTCCAAAAGTTTCCATTTTGATGGATTGTAGTCTGTGGGAAAGAAGAAACCCTACGTTTAAGACAGAACTACACAGGATAACAACTATTCTTGGTGTGGTCACTGAACAAACATGTTGATTCATACCACAATGATCATCATAGCACCAATGGGGACCTAAGGAACAAAAACCAATTCTGATTAATGTGTCCTTCTAATTTTTTTAAACAGGATTGAAACGGTATAGGTTGACTCACTGGGGGGGTTGGGAGTTGCAAAGGAGGCAGACACTTGACGTTGGTGGAGATTCTGAGTTGGCCGAAAAACATTGGTAAGTCCTGATTTTGCAGGAAATTGTTGAATCTAAAAACAGAACAAATGAGAAAGGTAAACATTGAGAGGCATTAAAACAAATTCGTAAAAAAAATGTAATTGTAAAGCCTAAATATCATGCGAATCTTTTCTATGAGTATCGCAAACATGAGTATGTTTGTGGTCAGACAAACTATTTTCACATAGGTTGAAGAGGTCCATTAGGCAACTGGACATGAAATGTTCTCAAGAAGACATTTCGCATCTCATTCAAGAGGCTTCTTTAGTTCTAACTGGTGGTGGGGAGTACAGCAAATATATACTGTCAGTGTGACAAAAGATAGACAGTATGTTGTGGTGAGGCAGAAATCCAGAAGCTTTTTCCCCCCCCCCCCACCACATACTGTACTTCCAATTCAAGGAGTCTTTCTACAGACAGAAGCATGGCGTGCCATGGGCTTTCCTCTGTCTCTCATAGTGGTCAATCTTTACATGGAGGTAGTGGAGAGCGGAGCTCTACACTCCTGTGTGGGAACAGCATCCAGTTACTGGTTCCAATATTTGGACGACACTTGGGTAAAATCAAGGTCCAGAAGATCAACAACTTCACCGATCACATCAAAGCAGTGGAAAGGAACATCTAGTTCACCAGAGATGTGAAAAACAACTGCCTTGCACTCCTGGATTGTGCAGTTCACATCACAGAGGACAGATAACTCTACATAGAGGTGTACAGGAAACCCACTCATGCCAACCAGTACCTCCGTTTTGACTCACACCACCCACTGGAGCACAAATTAGGAGTCATCAGAACCCTGCAGTCACGGGCAAACACCATTCCCACCACCAACAGAGGAAAGTTGAGGGAGCAGGGACACATTAGGACAGCCCTCAAGACCCCTTTTAAAAACCAACAAAAAGAGGCCAGCAGAGAGGGAGGACAACGGGAGGGGGGAACGTCGTCATTCCATACATGGCAGGGGGTCTCAAAAAAACTTTGGAGGATCTTTAACCACCACCAGATCCCCGTACACTTCAGACCTGGTAATACCCTGAGACGAAAACTGGTTCACCCAAAAGACAAGACACAAAGAAACAAGCTGGACAATGTGGTATACACCATTCAGTGTAGTGAAGAGTGTACGGACTTTTACATTGGGGTGATCAAGCAAATCAATCAATTAAGATGTACCTTTTGACCATTAGTTTACGTCTATGTAAGCTGAGAATCATGATATGTTCTTTCCAAAATTGAAAGCCCTAATACATTTAACCTACCAGATTTTTGCTGATGCTGATGGGCTCATGAAATACAGTCCATATAACAGCTTCATCGCATGTTGGTGTGGTAAGAGAGCCCAGGTATCGATAGAATTTATTAAGGTCAACATTTCCAATCAGGTCATTAATGGATATGTTATGGTGTAATGAGACCTCAGCATCTAGGGAAAGTTAAAAGACACACAACCAAAAGCTTCATATCAGTGGCAGTTAAGTAATATAATTTATTACAATGCTCTATTTATCTAAACAATAAATGTATTAAAACCTATTTAATGCCTGTTTAGATGATAGCACTAGCAAATGTATTAAAACCATAATCAAACAAATCTGTACCAGTTTTGTTAGTCAAATGTGATGCCAGGTTATTCCAAGCTCCAGATATTTCTCCGTCTTCTGCTTCCTATTTGTAAGCAAAAATAATGTTATTACAATTTTTAACTTTAACTTCACACTTTCACTACATTTATAAGATTGTGTCTCAAACTAAAGGTAGCAGATATTTGTGCCTATAGAGTTTGGTGTGCAATATATTGCTATTGTGAGAGATACACTCATTATGCTGTAGCCCAAGGACCAAGGACCTGTCAGCCAGCACTGGCCGTTACTGCAGACCAGTAGCATCACACCAATTGTTGAAGGATAAAACTTTCAAAATAAAATGTCTTTTAGACTATTATGTTAGTATCAGAAAATTACATATTATTTTGATATAGCCAGCTTATCTAGATTATCTTTTCGGATAACAAACAAAGAAAGTTGGTTCCATAGTGTTAGCACGCCTGCATCAAAAGCAGAGAGCAGAGAGTCCTAGGTTTGATTCCCAGAGGAACCACATGCTTGGGTGCAGCATTTGTGCTGTTAACACAAGCATTTCTGAACAATGGGACCAACAAAGTTCAATTTTTTTTTTTTAAATTAACCCTCTTGTTGTCCTTTGGGTCTAGGTGACCTGGTGGCTGGTAATATGCCTTTGTGTGTGTGTGTGTACAGGTGTGCGTGACAAGGTGCGTTGTGATGATGCTGGGTGTGTACATAATGTGAAGGACAACAGAAAGGTTAAAAAAGTAAATGGATATAAATGGATTCTCTTTGATTTTTTTTACTGGGTCCCACCAGTACGGGGGTATGTATCTATGTTTCCTTATAAAAGCGTGCTCTATGTCTTTTATTTTTACCATGTATATGTAAAATGTGTTGCCAAAGGGTTCAAAATTCACAACAACATACCAAGGTGTAGTATTATGGTTAAAAATATTTTAAAAGGATTGGGTATAGCTATAAAAAAATTATTGGCCGAAAATCTACAAACATACAAGCTACTCTTACGTAAATAAAAACTGTTTTTTTTTTCATGGGAACTCCTAAAGGTGAAGTGCATTAAAAATAGTGTTTGTATACAAACATTTATGAAAAACCCAAGAACTGCAATTCCCTCTGAATCCTTCTTGGCTTCCTCCAAAGAAAGTCCCTTCTTAAGACTGACAATGTGCATCTACAAGAGAACATAAATTAGTGCGATCAAAAAATGATCATAAAAAACAAACTTGCTACGGTTGCAAACAGCAGTACCTCCATTGGATATCTGTGCCCATCAATCATGTGCTCGGAACCAGGATGATGGTCTGTGTCGCCCCAGTGAAAGTGTAGCTGTATTGTGGAATACGTGCCATTAAGTCCTCCACCGCTAATTTCAACATGTTCTTCCATCGAGAACTTCACTATATATGGAAATGGTACAGAGGTAATTATGTTAAACATGAGTCACCAGGGTTATAATAACCTTTACATTAACATGAGTTGTGTTTTGTGAAGCAGTGAACAGTTTTTCTCCAGCATGATGGAATGAAATATTTGAATTTATATGCTAAAATTTAAGACACCATGCTAATACTAAAAACTACTGTAGCGGGTATATCATTTTTTTTTTCTATAGCCAAATAAAAAAATGTTACCATTGACATATTTAAAAAAAATGTATTTTGAATAATGGAATTTTTTCGTTAAAGGGAAATTGCAAATGGTAAAATTGAAGTATTTTCTGGACTATAATTCACTCCGGAGTGTAAGTCGCACCAGCCAAAAAAAGCATAAATAATAAGAAAGAAACATATATACAGTAAGTTGCGCCAGAGTATAAGAAAATAACAAATATGTGAATTGATATATTTCTATAATAAAATGAATATATATTGTTATATATATAATGATATTATATAATTAAATAATATATAAGTTGCACCTGAGTATATCACAAACCCAGCCAAACGATGAAAAAAAAGTGCGACTTATAGTCCGGAGAATGCGGTAGTCTTTGTATTTGCTATTAGCTGCTCACCAAATTTTAGTCCCTGAAAGAAATCGGAAAAAAATTAAACTGTAAACAATTAATTAAAATGATGGCTCTTTGTATTTGCTATTAGCTGCTCACCCAATTTTAGTCCCTGAAAGTGGGACTGAAATGTGGTAGTCCACGTTAACTCAAAAATCTAAAAATAATAAAATAAAATAAATGTTTTTGTGAAATGGACAAAAAGCAGACTAAAATTTATAGCTATGATTGAGATAAAGTGAAACAGGGATGGTTGAAATGAGGACATCAGGAGACTAGGGTCCTGTCTTTACCTGTATGACCATTATTGATCATGAATTTGATGGCAGAGGAGAAATTGATAAAGGCAAAGTCATGCAGGGTAGGATCAATCGTAACATGGCTGGTGTCGATGTCAACAGGAGACTGGCGTTCCTGTCCGCAGAAAGACCCTGACATGCCTGCCCATTCAGTTGGGCCCTGTTCTGTGGACCACAGAGGTTTATCCTTAGAACAATTTTTATCGCAAATCAATTATTGTTTTTATTTGAACAGTAACTCAGATTTCTGTTGTTACTTACCGCAGCCAGTGTAGCACCAGTCGCTTTCAGTGGCTGCAACTAATATATCAACAACATAAAAAAACAATTATTGTAAATTCAATTTTCCTACTTTTTGTCAAACACCGTGCTTTTATCCTGACTTTAACCTCCCTTTAAAAAACATAAGTAGATTCAAGCAGATGAAAAAAAAATCATGTTTTCTTTTAATACGTACACATTTTGTAAATATATTTCACCTCTGTAAACAAACTAAAATGACGTACACATTTTCGACACAACGAGGGCTAAACAGAAAAGCTGGGAGAGTTGATACATCTTTAGAAGAGGAATGTTTTAATGAGTGAGACTTCAATCCTTATCGCACAGCTGCGGACCTGAAACAAGAACGACAATTAATATTGATAATGTCATAATTCATAGCTAATGGAATTAATCTCAACCGAACTACTTTTACATCTAAAATCTGCTCCTGTGCCCTCTTTTTTTCCTCCCTCTTTCTCTCTTTACCAAGGCAGGTGATTACACTGACCCTGGATCAGCCGGAGAATTGTCTCTATGTAAAGGGATTTTTTTTTTTCAAACAAATTCTGCTTTATTTGTACTGTTAAGATCAACTTAGTATAACATTGTCTGTATATACATTCATTTGTTCCCCTGGTAAACCTCTATTTAGGAATATTTTTTACTTTCAAAATCTGTCTCAATAAGTGAATCAAACAACATCTACCACGTTAAAAACAAACAAATAGATATTAGGCGAAAAGAAAAACATTTTAGACAATGAATTTGTGTGCAGAAACAATTCAAGTTAAAGGTTCAGTAACTTACCTTCTGGTTCTGAAATTAAATCCACACAATAAATACGCTTATGTTAGAAGGACGTATGAAGCAAGTAGATAAATTTATGTTTCCAAATCAATGCCTAAGTAAGTAAGAAGTAGAAAAGTGCCAAAAGACAACATCTCAGAGTTGTAGTTATATGGAAGGACATACACTGGGTGGGAGCCTGTTGTGTATAAAACACAAAATCTATGTGGGAACGACATGTAACATGACCACAGACGTGTTGTCAAAATAGGGGTGTTCAGTCACAGGATTCTTTCAGGTTTATATATATATATATAAATTTGCAATAAAAAATCTTTTACAACTACTGATATACTAGACATCATTGGCTGTTTTGTGTGATTAGAAGCGTATTATTGTTTTATTTAAAAGTTTAAAAAAAAATTGCTGATGACTGTTTCATTAGCTGTCTTAGTAAAGTTATAGTTATATTAGGTATTTACCAATTTAAAAATTTGAATATTAATAACACTTAAGAACATTATGGCTTGTAGGTTTTCTTAAAATGTACGTTTGGTGAGTCATATAGCTGAGGGAACGTAGGCCTCTACATGACACCATGTAGGTGAGGCAAAATAAATGTGAAAATAAAAAATAGCATGGGGTGGGAGGTTTCTTTAAATCTTGAGTTATAGGGTTTTTCCTTTTTCTGGTGTAAATAATGATCGATGACATTTTACTGCTGGTTTAACATAATTTCATCTTGATTTTGATCATGAGTAGATTGTGTGACAACAGGTGCATGTTTACAGTAAACTCTGTCCCTTTCTCTGAAAGGGAAACCTTGTGTCTTTGTACATATTTAGTGTAAGCTGTGTGTACACCCACAACATGGAACACTCACAATAATCTCAAACACAGTGTCACGTCTTAGTACATGAAGGTCTTTTACAAACATTACTCAGCAGAAAAAAACAAACAAAAAAAAAGCAAGAAGAACAAGGCCCTCCATTTAAGAACCACACAATGCGTTCTCAAATGGAAAACTCCACTAATTATCAATACAACTGTATAACCATCAACCACAGCTTGTTGTGGCTATGCAGCTTTGACTCTGATTGTGTTGATTCAACACAACACTTTGATTTTGTTCCAACCTCTCTCTGCCAAGTCACACAGAAAGACAAAAGGATTGTTGGTTGTGAACTGACACCTGAAGTCCTCTTACTAGCAAGCAAATACAACAGAGAAGCAGAGGAAAATTGAAAACATGAATTAATACTTAAGTCTAAAACTCTAATATGATATCATCAGCACTTTTTTACATCAGTATTATCTTGTCTATTGTCACTACAGTCATTTCTGCAGCCTAAATGTTATTCCATTACTTGACAGTTGACTACTCCAATTTTATTAATCAGTACAGTTTACGTAATGTCAATATCTACATTGTCATAAGCTTTCATTTAAAAGGTAAAAGACAATCCATCTATAGAGGAGGGAGAGGGTTAGTGTTAGGGATTAGGGAGTATCATTTGAAGTTGTTAGCATTGGGTTCACAAATAATTAAAGAGTTAACCTTCTAGCTCAGGAACGGGCAAACTAAGGCCTGGGGGCTGGATGCGGCCTGTTCAGCTTTTGTATGTGGCCCACCAAACTTTCCCAAATTATATAATTTATTTATATTATCATTATCTTATCCGGGGCCGGGTCGCGGGGGCAACAGTCTGAGACCCCAGACACCCAGACTTCCCTCTCCCTCCAAGACTTGAAAGACAAAAGGATTGTTGGTTGTGAACTGACACCTGAAGTCCTCTTACTAGCAAGCAAATACAACAGAGAAGCAGAGGCCAATTGAACCATCGTGAAAACATAAAAAAGCATGCGATGTAAATGCCTAAGCCACCTCAACTCCTCTCGATGTGGAGGAGCAGCGGCTCTACTTCGAGCTCCTCTCGTGTGACAGAGCTCCTCACCCTATCTCTAAGGGAGCGCTCTGCCACCCTGCGGAGAAAGCTCATTTCAGCCGCTTGAATCCTTGATCTCGTTCTTTCGGTCATGACCCAGAGCTCATGACCATAGGTGAGGGTAGTAACGTAGATCGACCGGTAAATCGAGAGCTTTGCCTATCGGCTTAGCTCCTTCTTCACCACAATGGACGCAGTCAAAAGCCTTTTCCAAGTCCACAAAACACATGTGGACCGGTTGGGCAAACTCCCATGAACCGTCAAGCACACTGTGGAGGGTATAGTGGAGGGATCAAGCGTTCCACGACCAGGACGAAACCGCATTGTTCCTCTTGAATCCGAGGTTCGATTGTCGGTCGGATTCTCCTCTCCAGTACTCTGGAATAGACTTTTCCCGGGAGGCTGAGGAGTGTGATCCCCCGATAGTTGGAACACACCCTCCGGGCCCCTTTTTGAAAAGAGGCACCACCACCCCGGTCTGCCAGTCCAGAGGTACTGTCCTGGACTGCCACGCGATGCTGCAGATACGTGTCAACCAAGACAGCCCCACAACATCCAGAGACTTAAGATAGTCCTCAGCCTCAGCTCCCTCCGCAGACGGCGTGTCAGTGGGATTGAGGAGATCCTCGAAATATTCCTTCCACTTCCCGAAGACATCCTCAGTTGAGGTTAAGATCCCCTCCAGCTCCCCGACCCCGCCACTACCCAACCTGCTGATGTAG